TACAGGGTGCTAACAATGGTAATTATAATTAATAATATAATAATAAAAAATCTGCTGGATATATAACTAATTAATTTTTTTTAAGAGGTGAGAAATGTACACGGAGAGGGTAAATCAAATGGCCACGAAACGCGGGGAAGCAGAACACTAATCACGCTTCTTTCTCTTGATCTTGGAAAGGGTAAGAAATCATTAAATATTATATGAAATTGATGCGATATTCCAAATGTAGTGCTCCATTTGTTTGACAATAATTACAACTATAAGCTTTTACACTTGTGAATTGTAGTAGTTTTGTAAAAGTATTGATTTTGATAGTCTATTATTTAATTGGTGAAAGTTATGGTTCTTACATATTTTAAAACATGATATTTAAAAAGAAGGTAACATAATATTGTTTCAACAGGATGCATTTAAACGTATTAAATGAACAAGGAGACAGAAAATAAGGAGGATTCAAAACGTGGCGAAGTGGAGCCCCTTTAATTTTCCTTCCCGTTGGGCGTGAAGGTGCAATTTCCAGAAAATATAAGCAATCCGAATTACACTGATGCATAAAAATGAAGGTTGCGGTGTGATGTGTGGCTTATTTTACTAATTCCTTTTCATCAGCATCTACTATTAAGCGGCACTTCTCTTTTGTCATCACTTAGGAATAAAACTCGAGCAGCTTTTAGGGATCCTCAAGGTGAGCTACTGTTTTGAAGTTACTCAGTTTTCATAGTAATTTGCCACCTGTGGCATCTATGGTTTTACTTCTAACAGTTATCTATTGTTCACAGCATAAATCGATGTTATCGTGTATCTATGGGGTTCTCTTTTAACTATCTATTGTCCAGTGTATAAATTGACATCATGCATCTGCGGTTATTTCTATTGCCTTTAACGTTTATCTATGACATGAACAATGAATAAAGTTGACATCTCGTCACCATTTTATAATTTAGGTGTTTTACTTGCGTCTTTGTGCATGTTTTACTTAATTTAAATCCATTTTTTAATTAATTGTGTAACTAATACCATTTTTTGTCCATCTCTCCAGATCGTCTGACAAATGGGAGAGAATTAAAGTTCAGGTTGATGACTACAATGTTTGGTGGACTACATTCTTGATTTGCTGTTTTCGTCTTCACCTTGCAACATTATACAGTCAATTTTCAAGTGATGAGTGAGAGCAACTGAAGATTTATGTGAATTCCACTGAAATAAGAAATTTTCTGCATTGGAATTCCTCTTGGATTTGATTTGCTTTGCTTTTCACACCTGCAAACTTTGGAACATTATGGTCTACAGTTAATTAAGGTGAGAATACTTGATATAATTAATTTTAATTGCTCCTTATTAATCTGTTACCACCGTATCTGTTTCAGATCGACGTTGGAGAAGACAAAGATGACCCCTTGGTTAAAACAGTTCTCTATCTTGCATGCTATATGTAATAGAATTCAAGTTCATTTTATTCAAATTAGTTTTTTTATTATGCATGTTTTTTTGTAGTTTATTTAAATTAGTTTTTATTTTGCATGCTCATTTTTGTTCATTTAATTTGAAGTAATTGTTGATTGTAGATGTTTTTATTTTTTTTTGTATGTGGTAGTAGAAATAACACGTTTAATAGTTGTAGTACAGTCTAACCTTGCTTACCTCTTCGCTTAGCTTACTGCATATTCTTCCTAATTTGCTTTGCATTTACCCTACGAGTTCTACATGATTCAACGTTTCGTTATCGTGTGTGTTTCTTCTCACCCTTGTGGAATTAGGGAGGGCCTCCCCGAACGACTTCCCTTGGGCTTAGCTATTTAGTTGATCTTAAAAGTGTCTTATACACTTTTCGCGAGTCTACTCTAGCGTTACTTCCTTTCAGACAGGGTACAGTGGGTTATCTGGAATAGGAGCAATAGGCGACTGCCCAGCTTGCCTTGGCGAAATCTGTCCGATCTTCTCTACCAAA